AACAACTGAAACCAATAGCTATCCTGTTACTTATCTACCCCGTCTTTTATTTAATACACTTTTTAGAGTACATCCCATTATAACATAGATTTATTCATTGTTCATTTTGAAAACGAATAAACAAGTAAAGTAAAAATAACATATAAATAACAAATATATCGTTATTATAATCTCTGTTCCAAACGACTTCACAGATGTTCATCGGTGCAGCACCACAGGATCTTAGGAAGCGTTTCATGAGTTGCATCGTAATCAGTGTGCTTACCCCATGACGGATCGCAGTAAGGGTGCTTTATTCTTTTAACGTATACACATCTACAAGGTAACGTCGTGGGCACTGACCACACTTCCTACTGTTTAGAGGTTTTGTAGTTTTTTTTTAAATGATACACCTGTGACCGCCTAATTAGATGACCTTTATACCAAAGTGTTGGTACGAAACGTAATATGGTACATGTTAGGAGCCCTTGGAGCATGAAAAATACTTATATAAGACATAAAAACCTATAACTAAATTAAGAATAAGTTTAATTTTAATTTTAATTGATTAGATTTTAATTGAAAAATATTTTAATCACTATCACTTTTTGTTGTTTTTGTTCTTTAAGTACTAAAGAGGCTACGACTTAGACAAAAAAAACGAGTCTACTAATCTGATAGTTATCAATCCACATTGTTTATAGCATAAGCATTTAAGGAGAATGCGTTGAACATTATACCTGGCTATCGCTGTGGATAGGTGTGTGCATGTCAGTTCAGAGCACTTCAGTCCTCAATTGGCACAATTTCAAGCATTAATACAGTCCAGTAACACCTACTAACATTGGATTAGTTTCCTTTCGATCGGTTTGACCTCTGGAACAGGCAATAAATTGGTTGTAAATGTATTGTAAATATAAATACATATTGTAGAAGTGATAATTGACGGGCATTTTATATTGCCTTTAATACAATCATAGAACTTGTGTTATAAAGTGTCTTATTATTACGATTTCTGTGGGTACAATTAATTAATTTTATGCCATAATCTTTAACATCACCATTACGGTAAGATTTTTTAAGCACAATAGATATCACCAAAGCCTAGAGCAACTCTTATAACGCAAAGCATTTGCATGCAGTGTAAGTTCATTAAACTAAATTATACGATGAACAATGACATTGTGCACTTTCGCGCCACGGTAAATCTCGCTCGACATATGTGCTGTGCCGGTAATCACATAAATTGGACTTCCTGTGAGGGTGACCACACGCTACGGTACAAGCCAGACATCATCACCCAATTGCTACGTGAATTACCGACAAGTTCCTTACTGTGATTACCTATAAGCCGTTTCCTTCAAGTAGGGTGTCTACACAGCGTGATTCCTCGCCGCACCTTTTTATTCATAATTCTTCGTTTTGCTCTGATGCCTTTTGGTGAATGACCGGCGAGAGTTGAAAAAGTGAATCACAGGAATTACGGTGGCTAAACACGATGCAACGGCTAACTGATATTTTTCAACTGACAGATTTCAAGGGTGTCATTATAAATATATTACAGTTCTATTTCATGTGTTATCATTAAGTTTCGAATTCTAATTCTGAATGATATTTCAATAACAGATAGTGTGGAGTCTCACGACATTTATACCGCCCAATCAACGAACAATTTCTGTAAATGCCGTCCAATTACACGAAGGCGTCTCGGTATGCGCCAATTAGGTGTCGCTGCGCGCGCACCTGGCTCACGATTCATATGGTCACGCGCGCACTTTGGCCGTAAATCGTTTTGATGTAAAAGCACATTGTTTCTGTTATTACTTAAATTTCTATCGATTGAGGTAGTTGGCAATCGTTGATTTGAAATATAAAAACGTGCTAATACATAATATCTTGACTTTTATGGACAAAATAACCTTTAATCGCCGACAACAGCAGACTTGAATGTCGAATGTAAACGTAGTTCTAACAAATTAATTGAATTCGAATTAATAGCAGATATGCACCCACGTCTTAATTATTTCTATTTCCTTACATGTATTGAGTTATACGGTTTTTGTAAAATGAGAATAGGTACCTATAGTATTTAAAATCCCATTTCCACATATTTGTTAAATAAGGAGGAAGTGCCTTCACTATTATTACAATTTATTTATATTACAAAATATATACTTATCAAAATTTCATAATTGTTAGCCATAAAATATACTTTGTGCATGACATTGTAGGAATGCACTTCGTGCAGCACGGTACTCTACATTCACTATCGATAATTCACTATACTTGTTGAAAAGTACCAATACAAATCTATTTTCATTAAATCTCGTAATACGACCAAGAATCTTCTAGATTACGTAAGATACACAGAGTTTTTCAAATACCTGCTAACTACACTGAAAGAAAGTTGCCGAGAACTAAATTTGAAAATTCCGAATTCATCTCCCTAGCTCTAATTTACTTCATTTACCAGACAATATGATGAGAGCGGAAGCGTCGATTACCGTTTGCTAATGAGGAAGTAGTTGCTTATAATCCACTGGTTAGATTGTACTAATCCTGCAGACAGGATATGTGCTGTTGTGGCATACTGTATGCCGCATACATGACGTTAATCGCTACACTGCGTTAAAGCACTATAAACATCTCAACATTATACAGTTGCAGCAGCATATGATAAGAGACTGATAAGTAACTTACACGATTGTTCTGCAGTTGAAGCAAGGACACCGTTAAAAACAGTGTAACTGACCGAATAAGTAAATCAACCTAAATGCCTAAATCTCTAATTTAAGTGTGTGTTGAGCTGTGTCATTATGTTATGTCCTCTATCTGTCTGCACCATTGTGTAAATGTCGTCTAGAAGTGTTCTTCACGAAACTAGAAATAGGAGATTCTTTTTTTACTTGTAAGCGATTACTAGTTTGAGATATTGGGTACTTCAAAATATCTATCCCTGCGCAATTATTTACTGACTGAATACAATATTTATAACTGCTTCAAGTCTTAGTGTCTGGTACTTCTCTGTCTGTCTGGCGTGGAATTCGATAAGCGCTGCTTTAGTGGGTTGGATTCCCGGACTGGGCAAAATTTTATAGGGTTTTTCTGAGAGGAAAAAGGAGTCCAAGTTACTCCTTATATAGACATCTACTTGGTAGTAAAATATTATTAAAATCAGTCCAGTCGTTAGAAAATTACCCGAAACAAACAGACAAAAAGAAACTGGTTTTTATTTCATTTATTTACACAATTTTATGCACTATTGTACAACGGCGCAATTAATTCCTAGGGCATTCCCTTCCAGTCAACCTTTGGGTGGTGTAGAAATCGTTAGTAGTAGGCGCACATAGGTTCAACTAAAATAAAGACCAAACAACGCTATATACACAACATTTATACTTATACATATATATACTATAAGTGAGCATGAAAAAATGTATTATTTTAACATTACGAGTACAAACAAACAGTTCAATTTTATTTCTTTGTGTAGATAACCACCTGTAACAGTTATTTGGCGCTAGTGATGCCGTGGAAGAGCCACGCTTCGGCACAAATGAGCCGGCTCGACCGGAGTGATACCACGGCCTCACAGAAAACCGGTGTTAAACAGGTATTTTCGTTACTTTTCATCAAGTGAGTGTACCGGTGCCCAAACTGCTGAATTTGAGTGACTGCAAATTGACTTTAAGTGCCTTGCCCCAGAATCATCGCGGAGGAGCCAAAATGATTATAGGGGAAGTGACTCAAAGTGCGGCCACCTATTTGTGAGAAATAGAAATATTTTTTTGTCAATGTAGGAAACATTAATAGTAGATGTTACATATTTTATTTTAAAAAAAGGTAGCTACATTGTACCCATAGGCATACAAATTTATTTATTGTTAAATCCTAATCTTAATTAAATAACTTATTTTAAATAAATCTGTTTAATAAAAATTAACAACCTTAAATCTTGTACCATATATAATTAGACCTAAAATTACATCCACCACATCCACACCACATCATCAACAGCCTATACTAGTCCACTGCTGGACATAGGCCTCTCCTTAGAAAGGAGGTTTTGGCCTACTATACCACGCTGGCCAGACGGGTTGGGATAGGGTTTGTTTCAAGTTTTCCTTCTCTTTGCAGTGCTGTTGTCCTGCTTAGTTTGCTCCCTTAGTCGGCTCTTACGACACCCACGGGATGAATTGGGGTGGTGACAATTTGTATTCTTAATCCGTCACCACACGGACTCAAAAAATTACACACAATTACAAAAAATTAACACAAATAAATTAATCAGACTTACAAGGTATAAAAAAAAGGTTTTTATTCTACAACTGAGTTTATTCACTCAGTTGTGGAATAAAAACCTTTTTTTACGAGAAACTCCTTGTTTTTTTTGAAACTAGTGAATTGTGAGTTGCTGGTGTCTATGGACGGCGGTAGTCACTTACCATCAGGCGACCTGTCTGCTCGTTTGCCCCTATACGAAAAAAAGAAAGTAAATAAAGTTCTTAATATAAATCTTTCCAATCTTTTCTCTTACTACACACCACATAGCTTGCTATAATATATAGATAAATTGCAATAAATATTCAGTCACATCACACATCAACAGCCTTTAATAGTCCACTGCTGGACATAGGCCTCTCCTCAGAAAGGAGGTTTTAACCTACTATGAATATGGCCTAATACGGAGTGTCACCACCCCTATTCATCCCGTGGGTGTCGTAAGAGTCGACCAAGGGAGCAAATTACGCAGGACAACAGCACTGCTAAGAAAAGGAAATATACAGTAATATTTATAAAATGTTGAAAATTTAATTGTATACCTATGTATTAATGTCATTCTCTGAAACCCGTCAAGTTTCGTGTTATCCTTACAATGGTAATTTTTATAGTACAAATGTTCATTTCACGTCTCAGGGGCAAAAAATCCATGCATAATTTAATAGCAACGGCCATCCATGGTCTATCGCGGAAGACGTGGCCACTGACCCATTGCGATGGGAACACCTTGACCTTAATCAATGGCCACCTGCGCGGAGCTCCGAACTTCTTGGGGGAATCTTGAGCATGGGAACCGCGACGATGAGCTTGGAGGGTAACTAGTGAATGAATTCAAAATAAAAGAAATTTCATTATTTTTTATTTCTGAGGTGCAGTAATCAAATAAGTAATAAGTGAATTTCTATTCCATTTTCTTCCTAAAACTATAGAAAAAACTCATATATTGTTCGAGCGAGTAGCGATATTAATAAATTGTTCAAGGAGTACTCCTTGATCCCTTTAATACCTAAAGCGATGTTGTGCGCAGTATGATAAACCTCACATTTTTCCAATCGTAACATCTTTAGATCCATTATTATTTATTGTAAAGGTGTAGTGTCGTGTTAGTTAGTATTCCAGAATCTCTGTTAAATAACAATAATTATTTTTGTATAAACCTGTGATTGGCTTGATGTAGTATCTCAATCTGACCGTTTTCATTGTTATTATACGAGCATATGCTTTTGGAACTCCTAACAGAAGTAAATAAATAAATAAATGAATATATAGAATAACAGTAACTACTCTAAATGCATATTAAGTGGAAATGAAACTTTTCAAGACATTTAGGCTTTTTGCAAGTCATTTATCACAATTTTATAAATAACATTTCTAAACTAAAGGTATGTGTATGTGTATATGTTATAATTATAAAGGAGAAACTTTAGTAATATCATTTTGAATATTGTTACTTAAGTACAGATTTGTTGACAGCCTATATTTTATTTATATATTACTTGCTGTATATAGCAGCTCCATTTCAAGTTATTATGAATAAGGTACGCAGTGTGTTCCACGATAATATAAACTAACACACCATTAATAAGATTTTTATTCAGCCAATTTTCACAAATCTCAACAGAATAGGTAGGTTACAGTTTTCAAAATCTTTCTCTTTAACTACTTATTTACAATCTTTGTACAACATGCAAACTTCTTTATGATTTGCTAATCATGTCGCAGTAATCGGATAGCAAGTCAAACTGTCAAATAATTGATTTATTTGATAAAAGACCGAGATTTTCATAGTGAGACAATTTGTCAACAATGTAGCACATATGAAATCGAAACCAAGGTGCCTACTTATATCTACAAAAGCAAAGCATGTCGACTTGTCAGAGTAAACAACCCTTTTGTGTTCAACGTAATCCCGCCAAAATTGCGCGCCAAATGCCAAACATTTGTCAATGGAGTGGCCAACAATGAATCCATTGATAGCAAGCACCCGGCACCTGTAGATTTCGAGGGGTTCCCCAGTTCCCCACACGTGGCAGAGCAACATATGGGTACTCTCACCTGGTAGTGGAAATCTCACCCCTCATCCGCGAGGGGTAGTTATTTTACCCACATGTCACTGGCGGCTGCTACCGACAGATGCTAAAATACGTTAGTGCAGACATCGATTTTATTGTAATCTTTGTTGGCACTGAAACTTTGTTTAAATAAGTTGATTTAAATGATGGTAAATTCTATTTTTTTAGACTAAGACTATGGTAACTAAAACCTTGATATTAAAGGTTAACTAGATAGGAAACACAGATATATCTACATACTGCAATTTAATATGTTTTTATTATCACTGTTATTTTTACAAATTGTACATCTACTAAAGCTAGAAACCCAGTACGTACCCAATACAATATAAGTAATACCAAACTCGGTGTGTTTCAAACTTGGGATTTTTAAATATTTAGCATAAGTATTAAACTGCCGATATGATGGTGCTCTTACTTCCTCAAGTATTGTTATATTTTATTGTAAAAAAGTTATTTACTGACAACGTTTTAAGATCTCATTTTACGTTATTATAAAAAAAAAACTGTTCTGTTGAAACTAATTAGTGTCAAAATGCTTAACATTCAAGAACTTAAAAAGTTACAGTAATGAACTTGCATGTATTTATATTAATAATTCATAATATAGCTACTAAAAACGATTCAAAAACTACAAATGCACTTGCTAAAAAAATAAAATAGCCGCCCCTACTATTAAGTTATTTTTAATGAACGTTCAAACTTCGCCCCAAGGCATTCTTATTTCTAATAAAGTCAGCGTTACAAATAAAAAATAAGTAGCAAACAAAACCAAGAAAAAATTAATAAAACTAAAGTAAAACACGCTTTGCAGAAAGCCACTGAAGATTTTCACTATCCACTTCTTAGCCCTATTATCAGGTCCAAGATGTCAAATTATAATATTGTAATCCGAATTACCTACCAAGTGTGAATTAGCTACAACAGTAATAATAACTCCCCCTAACACGTCTTAAACTAGGCAGAGCCTGGACTGTGGTAACCAGACACCATGCATCTAGGCGTGGATGTCTAAGCTGCCCCACGTATTCTGTTGTGACACAACTACGCTTAACAAAATACCTCAAGGAAAGAGGGTACTCCTTCTTAAAAGGCTGGCAACGCATGAACTCAGGCGTCACAAACACTCCTGAGTTGCAGGCGTTCAGGGGCAGCGGTAGTGACTTTCAGTAAACAAAAACTTTTAGTAAACATACTTATATTTTCTTAAATTTTTCTAAATACATATATATTTATACTAGCTGACCCGCGCAACTTCGTCTGCGTCTCTCAATAGTAATAAATTTTCTCCGTTTTTGAAACATTCTTCATTGGTGCTCCGCTCCTATTGGTCTTAGCGTGATGATATATAGCCAATAGCCTTCCTCGATAAATGGGCTATCTAACACTGAAAGAATTTTTCAAATCGGACTAGTAGTTCCTGAGATTAGCGCGTTCAAACAAACAAACAAACAAACAAATAAACAAACTCTTCAGCTTTATAATATTAGTATAGATTATCCCAAAAATGACAAGTAGTTTAAAATTTACTTCTAAGATTTATTTACAGTGCTATTTAGTTATAATTCATGTTATTAAGAGTGTTTAAAAATGGTTTGAAAAAGAGAAAGAACAAAGGTTCTGAACTTGTTTTTGTTTTATCTATTTAAAAACAACAAAAAATATCTTTCATTTCTGCACCGTCATTGTGAACTGTCAATATTAGCTGAGTATCGTTGACCTCCAGGTGTAATGAATGGCGCTTCTAACATCTGCGCATGCGCAATCTCTATTGTTACTGTTTACTGTTATTATTAGTCATTGTATTGTATTGGACATAACAGTTAAATAATATTGAGGTCATTATAATGTACATGTATAAAATAATTGTAGTTAAAAAATCAAAAGTATCGAGTTTAGTCTGTTTATCCGTATTCTAGAACTCGTACTACTAGTTCTGCTTACTCTGGATCTAGATTGCGATATGTCCTAAAATATTACGAGTAGTAATGTTTTAGACAGTATTTTATATTGGCCTGAACATCCCTAAAAACACGCTTTAAAAAGAAACAAGTACTTTGACTTAACCAACGAAATAACTAAACATGGTTACGTAGTTGCGTTGTATGCCGTGGAAGTGGGTGCGAGGGTTATACCAGATAAATCCCTTTTTAACCTGCTGAAAGACCTTGGATTGCCAAGAGCTTCAGTAAGATCTTTTCTTGAACGAATATCCAAAGCGGCATTGCTTGGCTAGTATTAAATATGGTTAAGTAGAGGGGGTAACACAGCAGACAGTGGAGGTGAGCGCTGACGCGTCGCAAGGAGTACTCACTAAACCTATACCTGGTTCGCAAGTCCCAGCCGCTGTCGAAGTGGCATGTATTGCCCCCATCTATGTGTTGACCCGGCACACGCACGGTGAATCCATGGAACGCTAAGAAATAGGTCGAATAAGTTTCTACGTACTCTGAATTCCTGTGACGATATTAAAATGTTCAGTGCTTAATAGGGTATTTTAGTATTATTCCTCAGGAAGCTGATGTTAAGACAGACGGGTAAAATTAAACACAATTTAGGCTAAGATCTGTATTTCACTATAACCACGTCAAACATCGATATATATGCAATTTAAGTCAATGACTTCAAACGACTTTAACGTTCGGTGTACGGTGGGTCGTCGATGCATGTTCCAACTTACGCTGTATATCTCTTTGGACCTACTGCATGCACTGGGTTTTGAACGCTCTTAAAAGATACACTACAAAAATAAAGATTAGGTCTGATTTCAAAAATGCGGCAATAATTTGTTCATGTGACCACCCATGCCAGAGACAATTACGTGACGCCAACCTTTCCTTATGCTTATCACAAAATATTGATTGACAATAGTTGTGTTCTAATCAGTAGGTTGCTAACACTATCCATAAGTATCATGCAACATCTAAAGCAGATCGAACTAATACGATAAATTGTCGTAGGTATCCATCAATTTACAACATTAACAAATGTATTGTAATTTTTTGTTAAAAAATTCTACAAATTATAATAAAAATAGTAACTAGATACAAATTCAATATAATTTTATCTTTCAATAAAGTGTAACCAACCTTAATATGCCGTCGTCTGTATTCTTCAATCCTTAATTTTCTACACCTCTTAGCAGAGTCAAGATATTACAAGGCTTTATCTGATTTAAAACAGTTTAAACTATAAAATTTAATTTAAAAAATAAAACCAACTTCAACGCTCCTACATTCCTTAATTTTTATTTCTGGGGGTGGAATTTTTGCTTCAAAATTTAAAAGGACCACATGAAAAGGGTATTGGGCTCTTTCATGTTCAAATCGGTTCATAATTGTAAATGTACTTTCCTAGATTCACAAGTTATTGTACGTTGATACGGTGCAATATTCAAAGAATTCGATTCTTATTTGATGACAATAATTGGACAGCAAATTAATATTATTTTGAACAAAATAGTCATATTTAAGAGATATTAAAACCTTTTTGCAAGCATAATAATATATAGGAATGTGTGCATGCATATCTTTTGTAAAGTTTGAGAACCTCAAACCGGTCCAAACATAGTTAACAAAAAAAGAAATGTATACTTTGACTGGTATTTTTCTATAGAATTTATTTATATTTTGTTTGCTGTAGTTTGTTTTCAAATTTTTTCAAATTTAGTAAGTTATGGTCTTGGCTGTGTTTTTTTTTTTCGTTTAAACACTGCATTTCTGTACACGGCACATAGCTTCCAGTGGACGATATAGACAAATAAATAAGGTGATCGGTGTCGGATTATTAGATGATTCAACAATGCATACTCGTTTTACACAGAAGCTGTTATTAATTCAAACACTCGGTCCTAGTACGGTTGCGACAATAATTATTACATAGCTGGCATTGCTATCAGGTTGCGACGCCGGCGCCGGTCGGCGGTGACAGCACCGCACTCATGCGAATGCAGAAATGCGAAACCGAACTACTATTGTGTAATTACAAATGTCTTGTAGTATATGCACATATTTGTATGTTTTTATTGCCTTTACGTTTAATCGTCTCTTCAAAGAGTGTAATAATTTTCTAATAGATAATACGACCATGGTGGTCTAGTGGTTTACGATCTTGACTATTGAGCCAGAGATCATTTTTAATTCCCACCCAGGACAAATACTGCAAATGCTCAGGCAAGGAGAGCAGGAGGGATTACTTACAAACATGACTGGGCCATGTTTTCGGAAAAGAAAACCCTTCAAATTATGTTTGATATTATTTTCGTTTAGGCATTTATTTATATCGGGGGGTAGTTTATTAATTAATCGCGGTACTATGTATCTTGATATATATGCTCAGTAAATGGCAATAGGATTGTGATCCGTAACATTAACTCAAATTATAGTCGACAAAATTCATTAACGTCGTTACGCTGTATTTCGCTGTGACTGTGATCTTTGCGGTGGTGGTTTAGTCATTGCAATGTTGCGACAATCAGCCATCGGATATAAACCTTAACTCACTACCAAATAACTCATCTTGGCTTAACCACATTGAACACGTCATGGTCAAGATACCTAGCATCAATAAATCTAATCGCCATATCTTTAGCGTTTACATCCCACCTATAACGCCGCGTCAGTATATGCTAAGCATTTTAAATTCTTACAAGATCTATTAAGCGAGCAGACTATATAATTGCTGGCTACTACAATATACCAGAAGTCAACTTGTCGACTTGGTGGCTTGAGTAAAACTACTACACATCTAAATAATTTAATATCCTTTTTAAGCGCTTGTCAATATAACACTCTTAAAACATTAAGGGATATTAGGGAAAATATATATCTATATATATATAAATATATATAGATATATACATTAGACTTACTAATAGCAAATAATATTTGTAAAATTAATTATATATCGCATTCTTTGTCAACCATTAATTCGTATCATCCTCCTTTTGCGTGTGAATTCAAGCTTAACAATTTCAAACAACCTATGAATA